TTTAGTTCTTAGACTGGCTCGTGGCGTTTCTATTCGAAATGAGCTTGTGAACCTGACAACTGTCGCCCTTCTACGGTCACAATCTATTAACGTGTATTACATAAAATTAGATTAACATAGTAGGTGTGGCACGTGTCAGAGACGAGAGAGACGTTTGATCAGATAAATTAAAAGAAGCATTATTTACATAGACGAATTTCATATATAGTTTTAAAGCATAACCGTTTCAGTCAATACTGCTGTGCAGTCGTAAAGCAAGATAAATCTTCTACCGTGAACGTTTCTGTAGCATCATGCATCTTCCGGCTTTGTTCTGAATGGACACTCTACGTTTTACGATCGGGCGAATGTTAACTGCATTATACAGACGTTTTCTCTTCTTGACGGTGAGCAACGAAAATAGACGTTCGAGATAGAAAACGCTTCAATTTTACCTCCGCGGAGTCATACGGAGTTTATTACCAACGAGAAAGTATATAGTTCTCCATCCAAGTGATACAAGCTATTTTGCCTTTGAGCAATTTAACCGGCGATTAGCGGTCGAGTTGATCTCGTTAAATCTTAAAGAAATTTCCGACGAATCTAGCAACTTCAAACCTGATATAAAGTCAGGGTAACCGAGCGAGCACAATTAATTAATTAATGTCGTACATTTTATGAGAATCGGGATCGACGTTATGTGCACCACTTCCGTCCAATCGATCTTCCGGGTTCGACGTAAGTAGCGAGCGAGCGGCTCTCGATTCACCGGTATCCCATAACGACCGACTAGTAAAACGAGTTTCGATTCGGTACGACGCGACGTGAAACCGAGCCGGCCAAGCTCCGCGATCTCTCTCCCGGATAAGCGCGTAAACGTTATTGAAAAAGGTTGCTCCGTGGGAGCATCTTCTCATTCATATCTGGCCGCGCGATCATTCATAAAGCGAACCGATCGTTTCTGCGATAATCGTGAAAGTATCGCGAAGTGAAAATCGATTCTCAATGCGTTCTTTCAATCGCGATCGAAAAACTGGGTTAGAGACATAGAGAATCTTGTCGGCGGTATTCTTTAGAAATCGAGCTTGTAATATTCCTTTCTTCCATATCCGTGGATATTGTATGTACGTGCGCCACTGCGAGCAGTCTGCACGCTTCGCGATACGAAGGGTGTGGCTCCACGAAGAAAGTCTCGTCTCGCAAAAAGAATTTTCAAACCGTATACTGTTCGAGCAGGATTACTCTGAAAATTCGAGCAAACAGATACGCGAGACGTTCTCTATGGGACTAACAATAAATCAACGCAACGGTGACACGGTTCGAGTTCGTATGAACTACTTCCGATCGATCGATCTTCCGGGTTCCATGTAAGTAATAAATGCTCGACTCGCTGGTAACCGATATCGTCCAACGAGTAAAACTCGTTTCGGTGCGACATAAAGGGAGCAGGCAGGGCCTCTCTGCACTCTCTCATGGATGGCCATGTAACCCTATAGGAAACCTTCAGCGTGTTTCACTTTGCACGATTCTCCGTTACCAGACACGTCCGTCGCTCCTTGCCACGATTACACGCGGATAGCAGCAACTCCCCTTTGCTTCAGTCCTCAAATCTGCGTTTAGATCAATGGCGAACGACTCGTAGTTCTAGAGTTCAGCGATAGCGAACCAAAATCTGTTGTTCCCACTCGTTCCTCGGTCTCTGTCATAAATTCGATAGAAATTCTCGTTTTCGTTTTAGCGCTACTTGCATTTTTACTTGCTACCTTATCCCCGACACAGTCGTTCTCAGGCCTAACTCTGATGAGCGCGAGAGTTACCCATCATTGCTCTAAACGCAGCTATCGAGCGCACCGCGAGCCTAGACGCGAGAGCTGCGCTCCGTTCTGTGTGAATGCACTTCGAACAACGCGCTGGCCTAATACGACCACCGCAATGGCCTTATTCTTTCGCCAAGTGTTACGCTTATCTTGGAAAAGTAGAGAGAACAACCGGTTACCGAGTAGTATACTTGTTCCCTTTTTTTTCATCGGCTGCTCCAATTAGACAATAGTCTTCTCCACTTCTCTGAATGCTACTTGAACGTTTAACTTCGTTAGCTACTCTCCTCTCTTCGTGGTAAAGCACCTCGGCCGGTTGTCGGGTTGCCGTTTCCGCATCAGGTAATGTTTTAACGCTTCTCTGATGAGTTTTTAACAGCCTCCTGATTACAAGGGACGAGGTGGCAGAGTTTTGTCTTGGTCGCTTCGACTTATGCATGATTCATTAGCTGGGATACTCGATGTAGGACGCAGCCGCGGACGCTGCCGCCCGTTCCAAACTCTATTGTCATCGAAAAGTAACTGTTCCCGCAGACGCGTACCGGGAATACTACGCTTCTCTCAGTACGTAAGTCATACAAGACACGCCGGACCGTCACGGTTGTTCATAGAATTCGAGGCGGCACACGATCGGTAGAAAGAGATATCCTCGTGGTAAGCGCGAACGAAAGTCGATAAATTCCTTGTAATCCCGTTTTCTATAACGTCGCACCTCGTATCAGGCATCTACTTTTTTCAATACCAACGCTCGCTGGGTCCGACTCGTGTCTATCGAGCTTCTCGATCATGCCATTCATGCCTAAAGCAAAGCGTCGTTATTCCAAAAAGATATGAGAATAAAAAAAGAAATGAATTGTTTTATAAGCCTTGGAACACTTCTACCTGTCCATTAAAATACTTGAGGAGTATTCGATTAAAAATTATAAATCGTTAAATTAATAAATCGTTAAATCAATTATACAATTAGTAGTTTCCGACGATTATATCTACAAATCTGCGAACAACTTGTGTAAAGGTATCGACCGTACGTTGAACGTTAAGATCGCAACCCTGATCAACCCTTACATGATCTATAAGAAGGTTAGTCGCAAGTTCTGGCAGCAGCAGATGTATCGATTCCGTGTTTCGCAGTGGGGACAAGGCAGGACAGGGGGTCGGCTCTAACACGGGGATGCACTCTGAATAAGCCGTGGAGGGGTCAAAGATACGAGGGTAACGCGGCTGGAATTAATGCGGAATGACTAAGCGGCTGGTTCGCAGCCCGGAACCAACCGTTTCGTGCGCGCGTGCTCTATTGATAAAATATGTATTCCTCCGCTCTGACTACGCGCGGTACTTCCCGACATTTTCGATGTCTCTTCTACCTGTATTCGTTATATAATCCGCGTCCTTTCACGGTGTCTCTTCATCGTGTTTCGACTTTTGCCACCGGCAGTTTTCATGCAGGGCGTACTCTCTCATCTTTAATACAAAAGTCGGTACTGGGCAAACTTTATACGTGTATGCGATAACGAAAGTAACGTTATACGACGTAACTGTGCGCGTGTACAATTGTACTGATAAGTAATCGTAATACTAATAAGTTATAACTAGAAAGTTCAGTTCGTAGAAGCTAAGCATTAGACGTTCCGATTTTCAGTCGTATAATATGCACTAGTTCGTTGTGGTTACTTTGCTGCGGGCATTCTTGTATAGATTCAACGTGGGGGAAAGATGTTATCTCTTTGACATCTCGAACGCTCTCCTGAAAGTTTGGATTTATTTGTTTCCGTTGTTGATATTCATCGCGAGGCGAAGTTCAGGTTTGATATTTTTTTTATCACAGAGAGAACCTCGCAATCGGATTATAGCCGCAATAATTCATACACAATGGGTCGAACAACGCGTTCACGCTTGTGCAGTTTCAAAAGAGGAAAACTGAACTATAATCGTCGTTGGAACGGAGCAGGTATTCGTAATACGGGCTGCCCGATAAACCTGAAACACGCGCGTTATTTGTATGTAATCATTTTTCGTGGCCTTCGATAAATCGAGCTCGTCATTGCGATATTCAAATGAAGCCGGGACACCAGCGGTGAAGATAGATGAACGACGAACACGAGATGCGCGGTGGGACAAAGACAGGGTGAAAGGACGAAGGAAGAAAAGAGTGAGGGTAGTCGGTGCGACAGAGACAGAAACACGGGGAGAGACAGAGAGATGGGAGGGGAATAGAGAATGACCGCACTTAGGTCCTTTCGTTATGGAGCGAAGGAATAAGCCGTGCGGTCAATGGCTGCGGTATCTGCAGGTTCAAGGAAAGCGGGCTGGGTCCGATTCGACATCGCGTCGTTCAGAGGGGGAACTGAACAGGTGACGCACTCATGAAAATGCAGGTTAATAGAATGCCGTCTAGAAAGAGTCTCGGAATTACTGGCACGCGTCCTGCTCCGTAGAAACCGTTCTGTTCAAAATATTTCATTCGATCCCGATGACCACGAAACCTACTAAACGTTCATTATTTTCAAACCACTATTTGCGGTAACAAATCGCATGACGTCGTTTCCTAAAATTGTGTCTGAAATTGAGGAGAAAAGAAGAATGAAAAAGATCTCCTTATCGTTCAAAAATGGATCGAATTTTGCGCAGAGTGGGGGGCACAACGCCCTTTTTAAAAATCCTTCGATGAGGTTCATTCTTTAATCGCGAAATACCCCCTGGGAACATACTCGTACGTCTCGCAAGATCCTTCTAGTATTATCGTGGAACGGATTCGATTTCGGATCGAAGCAATTTACAAAAGCCGTGAAATCGATTCGTGAGGCAAGAGAGGAGGAAGTGGGCGCGTTTCTTTGCCGTGCCGCAACGTTCCGTGAACAAACATCGGACAAAAACGGAGCGTAATCGCATATAGCTCTCGCCTGCGCGAGACGATTTCGCCGGTATCTGAAATCACCGGCTTTCTTGCTCGCCTCCGTTCCTCCAGGATATACTTCACGTATCGCTACTAGTCACCCTGTACGCTGCATAGCAACAAACCGATCGATCGGACCGCGAAACATTTTCGATGGACGATTATTTTTCGGGACTAGGCGAGGCGGTTGGGGCGGAACCCCATGAAACACGATAATACGCGACGCAGTAACGAACGCGGAAACGTCCGCGTCTGCGAGGACACGGGGAGAAACGCGTGACTAGTTATCGATCTAAAAATGTTTCCCATACCGGTGCATGAAGGCGGCAGTCGACATGTTACTATCCATGGGGTGGTTCCATAAATCGCAGCTCTCCTGCGGCGACACAGCTTTTTAACACCCGCCGCCCGTTTTCCCGCCGTGATAAACGCGGCACCCGTTGCACGAAATTAAGGGATGATATCTCGCGACCGGTCAACCCCTTTCGGCCTCGCGTTCGACGTATACTTCGGTGGATACTCGTGGCAACTCGACCTCCCCGGGGTAATACCCGCAGATGAGTATCGTATACCGTGAATGGCAACGACCGTTTGCCAACACCTGCACGACTTGGCAGGTTGAAACCGTCGGCTGAACTGAAGTCAGAATGCGCATTCGTCGGTTTCCATGGTAGTGGCCGACGACGACGATGGTGGAGGTGGTTGGAGACGGTGCAGGAGGCGGCGGCAGAGGCGACGGTGGTGGTGGTGGTGGTGGTTGTGCAGTGCTGGAGCCCGGTAGCTTCGACGATGGTGGGGATTCACAGAACAGACCGTCTGCCGGGTTCTGGATGGTGCGTTCACAACCAGGTGCTCTTGTGGAGCCTAAGGTTCCATTCATATGATAGCTTTTTGTTTGAAACAATTTTTACCCACCGAATTCATATACGCATCTGTTTCCATCGCGTTTCGACGGGAGTCCCGCCCCTACCATCATATCATTATATTCCGTATTGAAACTCGATACGGTGTTTTAATTAAACATCGGGACACTTCGTACGCTTCGAATTTCGAATTAAAAAATGTTTATACCAAAAAGCATTGCGTAAACGTAGAAATCTCATCCTTGTGAGGAGAAGCCCTCGCAAGAAAGAACCATCAGATATAGATTGCTTCATTTTGAAATCGTCGCTTCAACCTTTTCAACGCCTAGATTGTTCCCGGTGATGCAGCGCGTTCATGCGAGTGAAGTTTACAGAGGCAGCGCGTTTCATCGAGGCGAACGATTTACCCGCGTTTCCTTTTCCGAAGACGAGATGCGTGTGTTGAACTTTAATAACTTTCTTGTAGGCGCTGGACGCGGTTACAGCATCGGGATAGCGAAACCACGCAAATATATTTAACTCCAGGCATATCTGCTGTCTATTCTCTGTAATCGGTTATAAAACGACCCGCCCTTTTCTTCTATCTCTTCACCTGCACGGTTATCCTCGCCTCAATCTCGGAATTGATAAATGGACCTCACAGAATTCCATTTATCCATTGGGCTAGCACGTGAAATCTCTTTTTCAAACTTGCAGATGGAATTCCAATATATTTGATTTTCAAATAATCAATTTTCACACATTCCTAAATAACTTCACTATCCCAGATGTATTGGAGATTGTAAGCATACCATCGAAGGCAAAAATTACAATCGATGTCCACAAGTCGATTAATAATATAAATTAGATACAATTTTTTTGAAAACAACATTCCTAACAATTATGTAATGTGAGGTACGTCTTTATATTATGCAGTATTTTTATAGTATCTCTTTTTACTTATTGATTTTGTAATTAATTATTCATAATCTTCATAATTAATAAATAGTAAAATATTCTTCTGCAATTAATTATTCATAATCTTCATAATTAATAAATAGTAAAATATTCTTCTGTAATTAATTATTCATAATTATCTATTTTGCTTCATTTATAATTATTAATAGACCAAGCCAAATTACTGGCGACGGTTTAACTAATCTTTTGTGTTGTAAACCTCTATCGAGAGTAAAAAATATCTTGCACATTTTTTCGCATTTCTTGCAGATGCAAATTTTCTAGCAATG